AGGAGGCTGAAGGGCACCAGGAGGAGGAGGCTGAAGGGGCACCAGGAGGAGGAGGAGGAGGAGGAGGCTGAAGGGCACCTGTAGTAGTTGGGTTTGAAGGGTCCGTTCTTGTTGAGCCCCAGGTACTTGGCCTGCTCGTCCGTCAGCTCCGTCAGGTGCGCGTCGAACGTGGGCAGGTGCAGACTGGCCACGTACTCGTCTGGGGGGGAGGGGAAAGGAGCCCAGGCCTCGTCAGGGGGGAGGGGAGGCCACAGCGAGGCCCCCGGGCTGAGGCAGAGCCCACCTGACACCTCTGGGAAATGTCACCTCACCCCAGGACCGGGACAAGCCTCAGAAAGTCAATGCCCAGCAAAAAAACGATTCTGGAGGCCAGGTGTGCCCAGGGGGGCCTCGGGACAGAGGGGACCCTGCTGGGGGTGAGGCCCCAACACTGGGGGAGACCCCACGGGACACCCCCGAACTGGGGACACTCCCTGAACTGGGGACATGGCCCTGAACTGGGGACACGGCCCCTGAACTGGGGACACGGCCCCCGAACTGGGGACACGGCCCCCGAACTGGGGACACCCGCTGAACTGGGGACACCCCCCGAACTGGGGACACCCGCTGAACTGGGGACACCCCCTGAACTGGGGACACTCCCTGAACTGGGGACACCCCCCGAACTGGGGACACCCCCCGAACTGGGGACACCCCCAGAACTGGGGACACCCCCCGAACTGGGGACACGGCCCCTGCTCCACAGTGGGACACGAGAGCAGCCACGAGCCCAAGGCCAGCAGGAAGGAGCTGCTGGAAGCCCCTGAGCTGGGCCCGGTGTCACCCCCAGCAGTGACAGTGACACAGCCCAGCCCAGTGCCACCCCCAGCAGTGACAGTGACACTTCCTGTCCCAGTGCCACCCCCCAGCCCCACGAGGAGCAGGCAGGGGAGGTCGTTACCCATTTTTTTGGGCAGCAAATACACGTCCTGCTTGTAGCGACCCTCGGGAGCGTTGTAGAGCTCGATCAGAGCCAGCGCCTGTGGGGACAACACCGGGGTCAGTGGCTGCTGTCCCCAGAGTCCCCTGGTGGCTGCTGTCCCCAGAGTCCCGGTGGCTGCTGTCCCCAGAGTCCCCCGGTGGCTGCTGTCCCCAGAGCCCCCCGGTGGCTGCTGTCCCCCCCGGCCCGGCCCAGCCCCCTCACCTGCGTGGTGGCCGTGATGGACAGGACAAAGGTGGGCACGGTGGAGCAGCTCAGGTTGAGCAGGCGGCCCTGGGGAGGCAGAGCCCGGTTGTTAACGACACCAAACCCAGTTTGTCACCCCACAGGAGGGACAGGAGCCACTGGAGCAACGTGTCCCTGCTGTTTGTCACCTGCCCTGAGCACCAAGGTGTGGCTGCCCTCAGGAAGGGGAAATCTCCCTGGGGTGGGATAAATTAAAACTCGGGAGTTTTTCTTTGTTCCCGGAACTCAGGGGGGCCCTTGTGGTTCTGCACGAGTCCCTGACAGGAGGGGACAGCCGGGGGGATTTGGGATCTGGGAACAGGGACAGGAGGAGCGGGAACGGCCTCAGGCTGGGCCAGGGTGGATTTTAGGGAAAATTCCCTCATGGAAAGGTTTGCCCAGCCCTGGCACAGCTGCCCAGGGAGGTTTGGAGTCCCCATCCGTGTGGAGATCCCCATCAAAGCCCTGTGGATGTGGCCTTGGGGACACGGTGGCTTTGGCAGTGCTGGGCACGGCTGGCCCTGATGGGCTCAGGTGTTCCCCAAGCTCAGCAATTCCAGAATTCCCTCACCTCTGCCAGCAGCACGATCCTCTTCCCATCTGGCCAGATCACGTGATCCACCTGCGACCTGACCCGCTCCCAGGTGAGCTCAGGTGTGCGCAGGCTGGCCTGGATCGGGGTGACACGTCAGAGCCACCCCAAACGGTTCTGAGGATTCACCTCACCCCAAAACATCATCACCCCAAACTCCCATCACCCCAAAACATCATCACCCCAAACCCCACTGCCCCAAAGCACCATCATCCTAAAGCACTGTAACCCCAAAGCATCATCACCTTAAAATAGGGCTACCCCAAACATCATCACCCCAAACCCCATCACCCCAAACACTGTAACCCCAAACCCCCATCACCCCAAACACTGTAACCCTAAAGGCTGTTCAGCCCAAAACACCATCATCACCCAAACACCACTGCCCCATAGAACCATCATCCTGAAACCCCATAACCCCAAACGCTGTAACCCCAACCCCCCATCACCCCAAACGCTGTAACCCCAAGCCCCCATCACCCCAAACGCTGTAACCCCAAACCCCATCACCCCAAACGCTGTAACCCCAAGCCCCCCGCCCCAAAGGAGCCCCCAGCCCCTCTCACCACGTCGATCTCGGTGTTGGAGTGCCCCATGTTGCACACAATGCAGCTGTTCTTCATCCTGTCCAGATGTTCCCTGGTCACCACGTTCTTGTTCCCTGCGGGCACCAAAACCCCAGGGAACCCCCCTGAGTCCCCCTGGGCCACCTTTGGGGTCTCCCCCAGCTCCGGGGGGGGGGGGGTTTGGGGCCGTTTTTGGGGCGCCAATCCCATCCCCCACCCTGCCTCCCCGTACCTGTGCAGGTGATGACGATGTCGACCTGTCTGATGACCTCATTGAGCTTCACCAGCCGGAATCCATCCATGCTGAGAGGGAAAAACGGGGAAAAAGTGACCCCAGACCCCACACTGAACTTCCTAACTCCTGGAAAAAAGGGCCACCGAGCCACTGGGAGAGTTTAGGGTCGTCCTGGAGGATCTGGGACATTTCTGGGCAGGGATTTTGGGGTTTCCCGTGTCCTGTCAAGGCCTTCTCATCTGCAAACCTCACTTCTCCACCCTGATGGGATTTTTTTTTTTTAGAGCTGTTCCTCCTGCAAGGAACATCCAGGAGCTGTGGATCCTCTCAGAATCCAGGCTGGGGTGGATTTAGAGCATCCTAAAAACCACCCCAAAGCTGCAGGTGCCTCTCAGCAACCCTGAAATCCTTTTTTAGCACCTGCAGAACCCTCAGAGGTGTCGAACCCTCCCCAGCAAGGTGAGCTCGGGGATAACAAGGGCAGGGTGATTTTTTTTTTGGGGGATTTGTTGACAATCCTCCCCACAGCTCCTTCCTGTGCCTCTCACAAAAATCAGTTACTAAAAAAAATCCTTTTTTTTTTCCTGCTGCATGTCCCCATTTCCTGATTTTTTTTCCCCTCCTGGGACAGGCCACGTGCTGCTGCTGCTGCCCCGTGCAGGGAAGGGATTGCTGGAAATTCCCAGCTGAGGGTGGATGAAGGTCATGGAGCGACCCAAAAGTTCATCAGCTCTGCCAATTAGAACTCCTTCTAATTAGTCCTCTCAGCACCACAGCACTGGGAGGGTTTGGGGACAATCTGGGGGGGATTTTTGGGATGCAGAAGTAGAATCCAAACCCAGCTGTGCCTGGAGGGATGCAGGTGGGATCTGGGGGTGCTCAGCAATTTTTGGGGTGTCCTGGTGCCAGTGAGGGCTGGGGGGGGTCACAGGACCCCAAACACCCCCGGGGGAGGGGTGGGCACAGCCCTGGGAGGGCCAGGGAGCAGCTGGGGCCCAAAATCCCTGCAAGACATCCCCAAACTCCTGGCTGCTGTGGGATGGGGTGGGGTCAACTGGGAGATGTTTCAGGGCAGGGATTTTTCTGGGATGGGATAAACTGGGAGATGTTTCAGGGCAGGGATTTTTCTGGGATGGGATGGGATGGGATGGGATAAACTGGGAGATGTTTCAGGGCAGGGATTTTTTCCTGGGATGGGATGGGATGAACTGGGAGATGTTTCAGGGCAGGGATTTTTTCCTGGGATTGGGATGAACTAAACTGGGAGATGTTTCAGGGCAGGGATTTTTNCTGGGAGATGTTTCAGGGCAGGGATTTTCCTGGGAGATGTTTCAGGGCAGGGTCCCAGGGCAGAGCTGTGGCTGCAGGGAGCCCCTGAGCCCCTCCCTGTGTGCCCCCCGCAGGCTGTGGCCGTGTTTTCCTGGGAAAAGGAGAATTCCTGAGCCCTTACCAGGCCTGCAGGGCACAGATGGGGTCGATCTCGGTCACGTAGACGATGGAGCCCATGGCCTTGAGGGCAGCACAGCAGCCCTTGCCCACCTGCAACAGGGACACCCTCAGCGACAGCCCAGGGATCCACAGCGCCAGGAGACCCTTCCCTGCATCCTGGGAATGTCCCAGGGCAGCCACAATTCCAGAAAATTCTTCCCTGCATCCTGGGAATGTCCCAGGGCAGCCACAATTCCAGAAAATTCTTCCCTGGATCTTTAGAATCTCCCAAGGGAGGCACAACTCCAGGAATTTTTCCCAGGAGATCCACAATGCCAGGAATTCTTCCCTGGATATCAGGAATGTCCCAGGGCAGCCACAACCCCAGGAAATTCTTCCTTGGATCTGGAGAATCTCCCAAGGGAGTCACAACTCCAGGAGATCCTTCCCTGGATCTTTAGAATCTCCCAAGGGATCCACAATGCCAGGAGACCCTTCCCTGGATCTCTGGAATGTCCCAAGGGAGGCACAACTCCAGGAAATTCTTCCCTGGATCTCTGGAATGTCCCAGGGGATCCACAATTCCAGAAAATTCTTCCCTGCATCCTGGGAATCTCCCAAGGGATCCACAATTCCAGGAAATTCTTCCCAGCCCCTCCAGAGCCCTCAGGGGGTTAAGCTCCATTTCTGGATCAGGAAATTCCTGGATTTGGAGCAATCTGGGCCTCAGGCCTGGCTCAGGGCAGAGGGGCACTAAAATCCCCTCTGGGTTTGGTCCCTGGGATTATTTTCCCCCAGAACATCCCAAGGCCTGGAATGCACCACACCAGCACATCCCAAAATCCCAGGGAATGTTCCAGAACCTCCTGTGGCCTTTGCTGCACTCAGGGAGCTCCAGGGTTAATTAACCTGGGAGTGTTAATGAGCTCTAACCTTTGCCCAGCACAGGGAATCCAGGTTAAAACCACCAAAAAATTCCCAAAAACGGGATTAGAGAAGGAAAAATGGACCCATCCCAGCTGTTTGGGCATTAAAAAAAATCCCAGTAGAGCACCTGGTATGAACTGGTCCTGAGAAAAATTGGGAAAATGGGAATATTCCCATGTGGGCAGAGGGTGGGTGAAGGGATAAATCAAGATTAATTCTCTCCTGACCACACTGGAATGCCCAGCACTCAAATCAAATTAATTACAATTATATAAATATGTGTGGTATCAACATCTGGGCCAATATCCAGATATTAAAGATATTCAGAATATTTCATTTTTATTTTTTTTAAAGATTCAGCTTTGGCATCTCTTTAATAATAAAGAAATGAAGAAAACTTTTCAGGTTTTTTTTTTTTGGCAAACTCCTGAGCTTTGGGGGGTCCTGCAGGTGCAGAGCAAAGACCTGAGGGTGGAGGAAGCTGTGCTGGTTTTACACACAGAATTCCCAGTGGGAAAAGGGGAAAAACTGGGAAAACTGGGGAAATGGAGCCCCTTACCTCCCCATAGCCACAGACCACCACCTGCTTCCCTCCAAACATCATGTCTGTTGTCCTCTTAAGGCTGAGGAAAAAGGAAAAACAAAAAAAAAAAATTAAAATTCCACGATTAAAGGTCAATTAAAAACACAATTACAGCCCAGCACTAAGAGCTGCTCCAAGGATGGATCCACAGCTGGATCCAGCATCCCTGAAATTCCAGAGAAAGGAAAACCCAAAAAAAAAAAAAAAACAACCAACCCCAAAAATTCCCTTTTCCTTTTGGGTGGGGGTTCTTTTGTTCTT